CCACCCCACTCCCATGCTGCTCCAGGGCAGCTTGTGAAATCACAGGGCTGGTCTCCATTTGTCCCTGCCCCCCCAAGCACAGCACTGCTGGGTGGATGGCACCTTCCCTTGGAATGCAGCCCCAGCCCCTCTGTGAGTCGTGCTGTGGCCCTGGCCCTGGGGAGGTGTCTATGGTTTAAGTCCACCCAGGGTCTCTCCCACAGTCCCGGTGCCTGTCCCTTTTGTTACTGAAGACACAGGCTGCGCTGATGCCGGCCTCTCCAGAGCCAGGGCAGGGTACCAGGGCCCTGCCTGCTCCTGATGAAGTCGTGGCCAAGCTCCCATTGAATCCGGCCCACAAGCTCTGCTGCACTGCACGAGCTCTTCCCTAGGCTTGCGCTGCGGAGTGCGTGTGACCCACCCGGTCCGGAAGGGCCCTTCCAGCCCAGCGGGGTTGGAGCCCGGCAGGTGCCAGAGGCTGATTTGAAAGGAACTTCCAGACCAATCGGGATACAGGCCCGGGTCCTGGCAAGACTCTGTGGACTCCAGAGGGGCTGGGGCATGTCCCATTGGCACCTGGAGGGAGCTGATATCCTTGCTTTGTGGCTGCCAGGGCAGTGCTTTGATTGCTGTGCAGTGTCGTGTGCAATGGACCAGCTGCCACCCAAGGAAGGGGCTGGGGAGTCACTCACTGAGCATTCCCTGTTCCCAGGGGCTCCTGGAGCAGGTGAGAACGTTCCTCACGCCTGTGTGTCATGGATACCTTCAGGCTGCTCCCAATCTGTCTGCGCAGCAGGGGCTGGGAGTTAGCCAGGCCTCCTGCAGCTGTGGTCGCTACAGTGCTAAGCAGGTCCGGTGTGGCTCACCTCCCGGGAACAGCCAGGTGCTTTGGGGACCAAAGTAGGTGTCTCAGTAAAAGGGATGTTCTCCCCTGGCAGTAAGTGCTGACCCCACTGCCCCAGTGTGACGTTAGGGGGTGATGTGCTGCTGCAGCGCTCTTCCAGGGGTGATGTCAAATGGCACCACGCTGCGGGATTGAGCGAAGCCATGAAGGAGGCTTTTACAAAGAGACGCTCAGTCTCGATTTAGAGCCTCCAATGATGGAGAATTAACCCTGCAAGCTGCACCAATGGTTAATTCCCCTCCCTGTAAAAAGCTTGTGCCCCGTGTTCAGTCTGAAGTGTTTTATTCCTGTGTGACAGCATGTGGGGTTATCCTAGGGCCCAAGGAGGGTGGCTGTGTCCCGGCTGGGGCTGAGAGTTGCTTTCCAGTGCAACACACCTGGAATCCAGCTCAGGTCCCGTCCCCTCCATGGGGGTGTATACAGGGTTGTTCTGGGGTGGGCCACCTCACTGACGTGGCTCAGCCAGAGAGGCTGCCGCAGAAGAGAGCAAGGGGCCAGTGGGCCGAGAGGCCTGGAACTGCATGGTGCCCCCCCTGCCATGTGCCCCTCAGGCAGCCAAAAAGCCCCTTCTAAGAAGAAGAAGCAGGGGAGGAGGCAGTGGGATGGCACCTGGGCACCACTTGCCTTGGTCTGCCAGAGCTGTGCACTCGAAGGGAGACGCCCACTGGGCACAGGTGTCAGTGGCATCTCAGGTACAGGGAGGAGATTGGGCCCAGGAGCTCCTGCAAGCTGAGCTGCTCCGTGGACCATCCCTGCTCCACAGAGGCAGTCCATTCCTTGGGGTGCTTGTGTGGGTCTTGGGGGGGAGTCGGCTGTGGGGTCTGGTCCCAGCAGCTTTTTCAGGGCGTGGGGCCTGCTGCTGGAGACTCTGGTGCTTGAGGTGCAGGGAGCCCTGCCCAGCCTCTGAGGAGCGAGAGCCCTTGCAGACCCCTCTGAGCTCCCAGAAGCATCCAGGGTGGCCCAGCTCCCCTGAGGAGCGTGGATCCCTCCTCCCCAGGTTGGAAGCCATATGCAGGTGGCTTGTGGGAGCAGATGCTGGGTTCCCTGGGAGGGAGATGACCTTGCAGGGCAGGAGCTGTCAGACAGGTTTGTGCGTGACAGTGATTAAAGGGGAGTTGTTTGTTTACACAGTGCCTGGTGCAGAGAGCTGGGGCGTTACACCTGAGCTGGGAGCTCCCTTGGGCCAGGGCAGTGCCTGACCCAGGCCCCCCAGCAGGGATCGGTCTGGCACTGGCAGTGCTGGGCTTGGAGCAGGCTGAGACCCCCTCCTCCTGTCCCCCAAGCTGCAGTGGTGCGACTTGTAACAGGTTCCCAGCTTTGGGCCTTGGACAGCTTCACCTCCCCACCCCCATACTTGGCTGTCCTGTTCTCACTGGGGCTCTGAAGGGAAGTTTCCGCCCCACCCCCCCGGACGCTCGGGTATCCAGGGCTGAGTGTTCGAGGACAAGTGGGTGAGAGTCATGGCACAAGCTGTGCTTTCCCGACACAGGCAGTACTGCCGCATGGGCAGACTGGCAGCCGTGCTGTTCCCGTGCTTAGCCTGTTCATTTTTGGCTGTCGTGACGTTATTCCAGGGCTGGTTGGTCTTTGCTGGGCAAGTCATTTAACTGCTTTGTCTCACTTTCCCCATCTGTAAAATGGGGCCTCTAGCGAACTCTGCCCCCGCTGGCTCTGCCGTCTTTGGCTGCCTGTCCCGGCGAAGAGCAGAGGGAAGGTGTTGGAGGCAGGGCACAGAGAGCAAGCCCCTGGAGACTGCCTTTGCCAGTGGAAATGCCACTGCCGATTTGGGTGCCCGAGGCAAAGCGTGAGCCTGCAGTAAGTGGGCAGCGGCCTTCGGGGGCATTGGGGTGAGGTCCGTAGTCCAGGGCAGGTGGAAATGCTGCCCAGAGCAAGGAGCTCTCCCAGTCGGGACCTCGTGGGCATCTTGCTGGTTCTCAGGCTGGGCTGGGTTCTCTGTGCTCCCTCCTGGTGCTGCAGCAGGCCCCAGAGCTGGCTGGTCTCGCTGTCCCCGCTGCTGCCAGGGTTGATGGGCAGGGAGCAGGCACTGGAGCCAGCCTGGGGAGTAGAGCATGTTGGGGATGATGCCGGGGTTGGTAGCCCTATGCACTGAGGGGGAGGCCTGACCACTGCCCTGGGTAGCACTGGGGAGGGAGGGGCTGTTCCTGTCCCCTGTGCTTCATGGGAAGGGCGAGGGGCTTGTTAGTTGCTAAGCAGCATTGTCAGTTTCCTCCTGGGCTTCCTCCCAGCAGGGCCCGGAGTGTGCTGCCTGGAACCTGCTAAGGAAACTGCCACTTCCTACCTCACGTCCTTCCTGTTCCTGCCTCCCCCGCTGGTGCCATCTGGCCTGTGCCCCGCAGCCCCCATGCCACAGCATCTGCCTGGAATGGAGCATCTCAGCCCTTCCCCTCCTCAGGGCTGGGGCCGGGACGCTGGCTTCAACCTCTGCTGCTGTCTGGAGGAGCTGGACGCCTCGCCCCTGTGCCCCTCCTCGAGGGGATGGAGTGGGGAGGGGGGGACAGGGAGCCCAGGCCATGGGGCCTTGGGTACGTGCAGGCCCGGGCTGCCAGTTGCCTTGCTCCTCTTGGTGCAGCTGGTCAGGCCCAGAAGGTTGAGGTAGGGCAGGAACCCTGTTCCGAGCCCATGGGACGTGGCAAGAGTTTGTCCATTGAGTGCAGTGGGGTCAGGACCAGGTCCCAACGGAAAAAGTTTCTGGCACATGTGGGGAGCTTCTGCCCAGCCAGACTTTCCATCCCAGCTGCAGCAGTGCCCTGGCGCCTGAGGGACTGTCTGGGGGCACCTTGCATCCGCCGCCTGGGGGCTCTGGCATTGCGCCGTTGCTAGGGCAGCACGTTCAGTGGCCCAGCCTCCAGCAAAGGGCCATGTCTCCCCCGCAGGGATTCCCCTGGTATCTTGCACTCGCACCTCAAGGCTGAAAGCTGGTGGGCTTCTTTCCCCCAGCTCCTGAGCTGGGCTCTGGGCCTTCCTCTGAAGGGAAAGGAGCTGCACCAAGGGGGAGGGGAGGCGCTGGCCTGTCATGCCCACAGTGGGTGCAGCTCAGACAGGGGCACTGCCCCCTCCTTGGGAGCCAGGGGGTAGCAGCCTCTGTAGCCCAGCCAGCCCTTAGCCCCTCTGCTGTGGCTCCCAACAGGGAGCTAAGTTGGATGCTGGATTTTGTGCTACTGAGACCCCAGTTTGTGGGCCCCAGGCCGCAGAACAGCCATGGAGGGGTGTCGTCTGCCTGCCTGGTCTGGATCCCCCACTCTCCTCTTGACTGCTCTCCCCTGAGCCGGCCCGAGGAGCGCCCCCAACGCAGTGCTGTGGCCAGGGTCTGGAAAGGCTCCTGGGAGGGTGGATGGGTGGGTGTAAAGACCATGCTGCTGGCCCAGGGTCCCGTCTGAGCTGGGAGGAGGCAGCCACAGCCGTGTGGGGACCAATTGTCCAGGAATCAGCCTGGGGACAGAGCCCAGGCGGGCGACTGGAGCTTGCCTGCCTGGCTGGGTGGCATGTGCTTGTTTTGGTTTCCCTCCCCAGCCCCCCAGGCGGGAGGAGGAGCTGGGTGTGGGAACCACCAGGTCAGACAGGAGGGAGCAGTTCAGCCTTGGCTGGGTGGCAAGGCAGACCGACTTCCAGCCGGATCCTCCCAGCGTGCTGCTCCCTGGGGCTCGGCTCTGGCTGCCTGGGGGGAGCAGGTCAGTGGCAGAGGACCCTGCTTTATCTCTGGGGAACATGCTAGTGTCTGGCTGGCTCCTGTTGGGGTTCCCAGCTCCAGAGGCTGAAAGAAGGCACCTGCATCCTCAGCTTACAGGCCTGAAGGGAGCAGCTGGCGCCGTACAGACCCACTCCCACCAGAGGCTGCTTGTAGGCAAGGGGTGGGGTGGGGGTCCCTGCATGGGGACCCTGGATGAGTCTTTGGGGCCCTGCTGTGAATGCTGGGAGTAGTAGTGGGCTCTGCATGACACAGGGAGATGTGGCCTCTCTGCCTCCCCTCTGGCTGGCTGGGCATCCATGGGGATGGGGGAGGGAGCCCTGCTCTCCCCCTCAGGGTGGGGCTGGTGGACATAGAGTGGCCCCAGCCACTCACGCCCCTTTGCTGATTGTCTGTTCCCTCCTTTGGCAGTGCTGGTACCACACGTTGGTCTAATTCTCCATGGCAACAGCACAGGCCCCTCATGTGACCTGTGACCCTGGCAACTGCCTCCTTGACTCTTCCCTAGCCTCTGCGCCTGGGAGCTACGGCTGCGGCATGGGCAGCGTGGGCAGCTTGGTGGAGAAGCAGGACTTGACGCCTGTGGAGCTGCGGGCGGTGCTGGGGGGCTCGCGGGGGCTCCGGCAGCCGGACGGCCTGCTCCGGAAGGGCCCGAGCCAGCGGGAGCTCTTCAGCTACCTGCACAGCGCCAGGAAGGAGCCCCGGGCCGAGAGGAAGCACCAGGCGCTGGGGGCGTCCTGCAACCGGGACTACGAGAGCGACCGTGAGAACCGGTCCCCTGACCGCTACTCCCGCGAGCACCACCGGGGGGCAGACTTCTCCAAGAGCTCGCTGCCGGAGCGGGGCCGCTTTGACAAGGTGAGGCCCTGGGTGATGGGCTGGGCTGGAGCAGCCCATGTGGCTAGGGATCCGCGGGACTAGTTGTAAGGATGTTTCCCACAAGTGCGTCGCACCAACCGCCCCTGAAATGCAGCTGTCTCTAGAGTGGAGTGCAGCCCCCAAATGGGAGCTGGTTGGCGCAGAACACGTGAGGAGGGGGCCCTTATGGACAGTCCCCATGTTCTCGGCGGGCCAGGTGGTGATGGGCCCCTGTAACTGCTGTGACAGCTGGGAGCTGCTGGAAGGTCCTTGTACATAAACCTCATCTCTGTGTCCAGGGCAAAGGGGTGGGGCAGCCCTGAGCCATCCTGCAGCTGGGGACACAGACTGGGGTGCCTCAGCTCTTCTCCCTGCTGAGTGGAGAGGCAGCAGGGCTGGGTGGCTCTGCTGAGACCAGGTTGATCCTTGGCTCCCTTGTCTTTCAGTGTCGGATCAGGCCATCGGCCTTCAAGGCAGTGGCTGGGAAAGGCCTGGTTTCCATGCAGGGCCTGGCCTCATCTAAAGGGCAGAAGCTGTCGAAGAGCAACGGGAGCCTGCACACCCTCCTGTCCCAGAGCAGCACCAGCACCGGTGCCTCCTCCCAGCATGGCCACATGCGCACCCACCTGCTGCACACCATCAGCTTAGACGAGGCCTCCAATTCCAGCCACAACTCCATCCAGAGCTTCCCCATCTACCCTCCCCACTTCAAACCTGCCCAGGGCCAGTTCAGCGCCTCTATGGGCCACATCAACCACATTGGGGGCTCCCTTGACAGGGCCTCCTGGGGCCCCAGAGACCCCCTGGCAGTGGAGAAAGCACCTCTGTCCTGCAAGAGCATGGCCACGCTAAGCCGTCTGCAAAGCTCTGGGGAGCCCCCACCCCCCTACGAGTTCACCTACTCCCTGGAGGACGTGGTGAAGCAGCTGGAGGACCGGCTGCAGGAAAAGAGTGGGGAGCTGTGGCAGTTGAAGAGGAGCCTTAGCGAGACTGAAGACCCCTTCACGCAGGTGAGTGCAGTGGGGTTGGTCTGAGGGTGCAGGGCCCTGGGCCTGCTTCCCCCCACCCCCAAAGCAGGGATGCTAGTGTCTCATGTATTGCCCCCGTGCTGTTGTCTTGGAGCTCACTGTATGTTGGGGTCTGTGTGTGGTCCATGATTCCCTGGAGTGCTGTGCTGGCAGTAGTGTGCTGGTGTGTTGTGTCTGGTGCGAGCAGAGCGGGGGAAGGGCACATTCACCTCCAGAATCCAGTGACCTGTTGGGAAATGGGGAGCTTGGGCCCTGCTGCTCCCAGTGCCAGAGCATCGGGCTTGCTCCAGAGAGATTGGGCTTGAAAATCTCAGTGCACGAGGAGCCTTTTCCCCCTTGCACCAAGGGAAGGTGGCGGTGGGTGGCCCATAGGAGCAGCTGCCCAGCCTGTATGTGCTCTCTTGAGAAAATGGAGACATTTATGTTTCCGAAGCTCGTACTAGGGGGGGAATGGTCCAGTGCCGGGAGGTGAGCGCTGCTGTCCTGACTGTATCCTGCTTGGAGATGGATTGTGTGTTGCTGCAGGGTGGCCCTTAGAGCTGCTGCTTCCCATTCCAGTGTCATGGGGCCAGGCTGCTCCCTGTGCTAGTGACTTCCTTTCACTAAGCCACCTCTAATCCACCATGGAGTTGGGGCAACTGCTCCCCGCTGCAGGGCTGGGATCCGGAGCAGCCTCAAATACTAACAAGCTGCTGGAGGGGGCTGGGCTGCCTGGCACTTCGCCCCAGGAGCTGGGCACAGACCTCTGCTTGTGCCAGCAGGTTTTCGAGGACAAACAGCATCTGTGGATGGATGCACTGGACGAGCTGAAGCAGATGTATGTCGCCAAGCTGCAGCAGGTGACCCAGCAGGCCCAGCGCAGCCAGCGGGCACTGCAGCTGCAGCTCTACAAAGCGCAGCAGGAGAAGAAGCGGCTGCAGGAGGAGCTGAGCCTGCACCAGGGCCAATGCGAGGAGCTGAGGCAGTGGCAGCAGCAGTGTGAACGTGTCAGCCCCAAACTAGAAGAGACCAGGTGGGAGGTGAGTAAAGGAGAACCCTGCAGCTCTCCTTCACCCTTCTGCCCCAACAGCTGTCCTAGTGCCCCTCAGTCCCAACCCACAGCCTCAGCCCTCGGCACAGGCGCCAATTGTACCATGCTCTGAGGTTTTTGGGGAGGAACTTTTGGCTCAGGACGAGGCAGAGAGAGGCTGAGTCACTGTCATCTGTGACTTAATGCAGCTGTGGACCTGGGACTACAGCCAAAAGCCTAGTGACCCCCCCACCCCACCCCGCCTCCAAACCATCCCTCACACCCCTACAAAGCCTCCATTTCCTGCCTGTGGGAATCCCGAGAGTGCTGCCTGGTATGGCTGCCCCATGGCAGGTTTAATGCTCTATGCCCCTGCCTGGCAGAGTTGGGATTGAATGGGGGTTTCCTCTCCAGATTCACCCAATGATTCTAAACCCCATCCCCCCTTTTCCTGTGCATCTCATATCTCGCTCTGTCCCTCTCCACCCTTTCTCTGCCTCTCCTGCAGGTTTGTCAGAAGGCGGCTGAGATCTCACTGCTCAAGCAGCAGCTTCGAGACTCCCAGGAGGAGATGGCCCAGAAAGTCAGTGAGATCTTCAGCTTGAAGACCCAGCTGCGGGAGGCCCGGGCAGAGGTGCAAGCCAAGGACTCTCAGCTGGCCCAGCTAGGGGACTCCTTCCAGGCCCCACCAGAGCCCAGCTCCTCCCTCCCTTTGGGGGATGCTCCCATGCCAGTCTGCCAGGACTTCTCTGGCTGTGAAACTGACGACTCCAAGTCTTGGGGTCTTCACAGCGAGAGTGGTGAGCCCCCGGAGAGGCAGGTGGAGTGGCTGTGGGCAGAGCTGCTGCGGGAGCGGCGCCAGGCCCAGCTGAAGGCTGTGAACTTTGAGCTGGAGCGGAAAACCTGGCAGGAGGAGAAGGAGAAAGTGCTGCGCTACCAGAGGGAGATCCAGGCAAGCTACATGGAGATGTACCACCGCAGCCAGGCTTTGGAAAGGGAGCTGCGGCAGCTGCGGGCTGAGCCCAGAGATGCTGACGCAGACTCACCCTGGATCGAGAGAGTCGAGTCTTCAAAAATCTGAATGGGAAGCCAGCAGCCTGGACTGGGAAGGAGCAAGAGCTCTTGGGATGGTACCCAGGCTGCACCATGGACTGACTGGGCTAGCCAAGGGGGCTTCTCCATTCAGACCGATGATGCTGTGAGCACTGCAGGTCCATCCCTGGGGAAGTCTCAGGAGCAAGTGTTACTTCTGCCTCTGCAGCAGGGGCCTGTGCTCCAACAGCTGCCTTGGGCAGGGCAAGTTTGCACCATGATTTTTACTGTCTGCCAAACAGAAGCCCAGCATCAAGTGGGATTTCCTGTTCCTCCTCCCCCATCCCCTGCTGCTTCCTACCCCAGCAAGGGCTCTGGCCCCGCTGGGGAGATGCCCAACTTCCTCTCCTTACACTGTCCAAGCTGCATGCCTACCAGTCTTGCTGCATGTCCTTCACACTGAGGCTGCACTGCTCACTGGCCCCAGCAGAGAGCTGCGGCAGAGTAAACCTGCCCTGCTGTGCCAGTGCTGGGTGCCCATGCAGGTAGCCTGGCCTTGGGGCTTGAGGCCTGGGAAATGTGAAACACGGATGCTGCGGATCACTTCCTGCCAGGGCTAGAGCTGCCCTGGCACCTGGCTCTGCTGGAGTCTCTGCAGCAGGAGAAAAGGAGGGGGGGACAGGTGCAGGGGTTTTGCAGACCACCCAGGGCTGTGGCCTCTGTGCTGGGGCTTCTCGTGCTGCTTCGGAGCTGGGTCGGTATCCTGACCTAGAGAAGGGGAGATGGAAAGCAGCTCCTGCCAGAGAGCATGCACCATCGCTCAGACCTGTCCTTGCCCACCCTCCCCCGTTCTGGCCCAGCCGACGTCTGGGTATGAAGCTTTCCCGTGAGGCAGTAACACATGCCTAGTGAGATGAGATAAATGAAGAACCTTTTCCCCCACCGGCCCGGCCCAGCCCAGGGTGAGGGGAGGGATGGGACCTGCCTGTGTAGAGCGAGAGCCCACAGGAGAGCACCTGGTGGGGTCACAGGCACAAGTGCAATCAGGGGGAAGGTGTGGTCAGCTTTCCCCCCCTTCAGCTGCAGAGCACAGCCCAGAACGTAGGCTGTGGCTTGGTGCTGAGGGGTGGGCAGGGGCAGGCTAGCACCATGGGGTGGGGCAGGGGGCTGGCTGCTGGGTGCTCTGGATATGAAGGTCCAGGCCTGGCACGGCTCTGCTCAGCCTCTCCTGGAATAAATCTGAATTTGGTACTTCTGGCTCCTGTGGCTGCTTCTTTCTCTCCCGCCATGGGGGGACCCCAGCGGCTGTCCCTGGGTGCTCAGGGGTGAGTTCCAGGCCTCCCAGCTGACAGGATAGGGCAGCAGGGAAGCTGGTATTTACTCTGCACCCCAGGAGGTTGCTGCAGCCAAAACTCCATTTGCTGCTGACCAGGGATGTTGAGCTAAAGGCAGGCGTCTGGGAAGGGGAGCAGTGCTCCCAGCGTGGGGACCATGGGCCCAGTTTCTGAGGATGATGCAGACAGGGCTCCACGTGGCCTGGCCCCTGGCTGTCCAGTGGTAGCAGCAGGGCTGGTCCCACCTCCAGGAGCTGCTTGCTCCATTGTGTGTGTTCCTGCTGGAGGGGGGGGCTCTGGTTTGTCTCTAATGGGCTGGCAGCAACATGCTGCTCTTTAAGGTCAGACACAAGCCCCCACGAGCAGTCCTGGTGCAGTGCCACTTGCCTCTCCCAGCTGCAGGTTATCTGATGGGTGGAGAGGAACCAATCTACTCAGTCCTGCTGGACACAGGTGCTGGGGGCTGGCAGGGTCAATCTCTCTGGCCTCATCCTGGCAGCACCCTCTGGACTCTGCTTGGAACTGAAATACACAAGATGCCAACAGCTGTTGTACCCTCAACCACTGGCCAGCGTCTCCTTTTAAATCACCTCTTGTCATGGTGGTGCCTGGCACCTGTCCATGCCATCAACCTGGCTTGGCCCTGCAGTGCCAGGCTGTGCACACACAGCAGTGCTCCTGGCTGCTAGCCCAGTGGGGCTTGGCTCGGAGGAGCTGGAGCCCGAGCCTGGGATCTGCGGCAGGTTTGTTATTCTGGGCCAGCTGGCTGTTGAAATCTCGTTTGTTTGCTGGTGCCCACATCAGGCCAGGGCTCTGTGGTGCCGGGCTCTGATCCTTGCAGCAGGTTTACACCCAACAATTAGAGCCATGGGGAGGGGAGGTGGGACCCAGGAGAGGGCGGCACCAAAACTTGGCAGGGAAGCCAGAAACCAAGCTCCTGCCGCAGATGCCACAGGGCAGAGTCGTGGCGTCTCAGGAAGAACCGAGTGTTTAGATTATTGGGTTGGTGGTGAAACCGGTTTCCTGAATTCCACAACATTGATTCACACTCAGAGAGATGGCGGCCCGGCCGGGTGTAACTGTCAGTGCTCTGCTGCAGGGGCCCTTCTCCAACAGCCCTGCGAGCAGCTCGCCCTTGCTTGGGATCCTAAGACTACGACAGCCCTTCCTCCGCATGCTTCTAGCCTGTGCAGACACCCTCGTATTGCCACTGTCTCTCTTTGACCCAAGCACCATCACTGAACCAAAGGGACCCTGTGGAACCCTTTCCAAACCACCCCAGCAAAATGCTCTCTTCTTAGGGCTGGTGTGGCCAGGGCAGCAGTGACAGCATTGTTCAGCCTGACAACTCCATTGCCTGATTCCAGCCCCTCGCTCCTAATTACACCCCTGTCTAGCTCCTGTACAACTCACCTCCCCTCTCAGGTAGGGTGATGGCGGGTGGAGATGTGAAGTCATATATCTGTCACTGAACCAAGCTGCTAAGCAGCTCCCTCCAGCCTGGATGCTGCATGTCTCCTCTCTGAAAACATACCCAGACCTGCATATGCCACTCCATGCCTGCTCCTGGCCAGGTGCAGGCAGCCGGGCCCCTCGTTGGGCTGGTGCTCAGACAGGGGCATGTGCAGCACCGTGAGGCCCTGGCAGCTGGAGCTCTGCATGCCCCCAGAGAAGCCACTAGTGCTTCCTGGGGTTGGCCTGGCAGCCCAAAGCTCTGAGCTGAGAGATGGGTCCACTGCAGAATCCTGGGCCCCTTACCAGCTCCTGTGTTCAGCTGGGCCCAGGGAACCCTGGTCACTGTCTCACCCTTCCCCAGGGCCTGGCATGAGGCAGGAGCCCCTGAGTGCAGCTGCAGCCCCTGTGCTGTGGGCTGAGGCAGGGAGCAGGGGCTGGGGGGAGCCAGGGACACCCCGACTCCAGGCATGTGGGGCCAGTACGAAGGGCACGAGATCACAAATGGTATTGTGGGTTCCCTGCTAGGTGCTGACCCAACAGGCTTTCTTCCCTCCCCAGGAGCAGAGCCCGCCTGGGCCTTGACCGCCCCCCCCCCCGGCACCATTCCCTCCTCCCCAGTACTGACCCCCCCCCCGCACCATTCCCTCCCCCCCAGTACTGACCCCCCCCCGAACCGTTCCCTCCCCCCAGTACTGACCCCCCCGCACCGTTCCCACCCTCCCGCACTGACCCCCCCGAACCCTCTGCACGGTACCCTCCCCACAGTACTGACCCCCCCCCGAACCGTTCCCTCCCCCCAGCACTGACCCCCCCGCACCGTTCCCACCCTCCCGCACTGACCCCCCCCGACTCCCCTGCACGGTACCCTCCCCCCAGCACCGACCCCCCCCCACCGTTCCCACCCTCCCGCACTGACCCCCCCCGACTCCCCTGCACGGTACCCTCCCCCCAGCACCGACCCCCCCCCACCGTTCCCACCCTCCCGC